AAGCTGATACTTTACATTTGAAATTAAAGATTATTTTAATTGGATCGCTTCCTAACCCTTCAAGGAATGAGGCTCAGTAGCAAATTTGGTACTGCAGATGAAAAATGTGTTGACCCTTATTTGGTAAGGAGGGGGAAGAGAAGTGTAGGTAAGGACTGCAGAAGTGTAGGTAAGGATTCCCACACCATTACACATCGAATCAGAGATTCTAAGGTTTCTTTTTTCACATTTTATGTGTCTCTTCTCAATTTGCAACAATACTTMCTAAGGAAATTGCAGTGGAGTTCTCACTAACACTGCCTATGTTTCAACTGCAAGAAGAGTCAATGGATAGAATATACTGTTGGTTAGGGATCACAAGCTCTGTCTGTCTGGTGTTTTGATCTGTTGCAAGTAAATGTTCAAAAACAAGTCCTTTTAAAAATAGATTAAATGTCAGATTGGTGTTTGAGAGAGGCTTTGTTACTGTGGTCAGGGAGAGAAAGGAGACTGAGGTATGCAGAAGCTCTGTTTCAGCTCTTCCAAGTTTGGGGGCAACTTCTTATGCTGCACACACTGTTACAGATTGGATTGAAAATGTAATTAACAGTAAGTCATCAAAGAGTTGTGGACACTTAAAGTACAAATAGTGTGCTGCAGCTGTGAGAAAGGAAGTCTTGTGGCTATCTGTATTGGTTTGAGACTGAAGTGAGTAGGGACACACTGTACTGTAGTGACCTGCTCTTGCAGGACAGAGACAGGATAAATACTGTGCTTTGTGGGAGGATAAGCAGGAAACTTGTTAGAAACGGAACTTTTTGTTTCTGGGGGAGTAGTTTAGGCAAGAGTTCATTTAATTTGGTGTGAAGTTGGGATGTTTTTCTATCATATTTGACTGCAGTGTTCCATCTTATCTCYTCCCTTTCTCTCCCTTCCCCCAATTTTTTTTCACTAGCCGGATTTCCCTTACAAAGATGAACTCCTTTCTTTGGACTCCAGCTGTCTCTTGTTTATTGTTCTGGTGTTCTTTGTTTTATTTATCATTTTAAAGGTAAGTTRAAACTTTATCATGTGTCTGTTGCAAGAATTGATAAATATTAAGATGYCGTCAACCTGAGTTAATTCTCAATGCTGAATTCAGAGCCCAGCTGCCTTCTTTGTGCTGAGGTAAGAACTTATTTGAGCAGTTTTCAGGGTGCTCAGTTTTAGTATGACTTAAGTCTAATATGTTGGGTACTGGTGTCTTCAGCTAACTTATTTGTGTACAGTGGGGCACAGCTCTGCCCTTCCTGAGTAGGAAGCAGGAATGCAAGAAGACTTCATACTGTCTTTTCGTGTATATGGAGATAATTTTAATATTTGTAATTAAGCTASTAGTGAAAGAATATTAAGTTAATGCATACAAGTTTCTAAACAAAATGTTTAAAATCTCTCACTRTGCCTAACAAACCAGGATGCAAATTTTGGAAGACAGAACGAGGAAATGCATAGGTTAATTCAGAGCTGCACCTTCCTCCCTACTGAAGGGTGACATTACCAGTTATTTTCTTTCTGAAGATGTAAATACAGAGGCATTCATTTGAATTATAAAAASTATTGTATAGACAAAGTGTAATAGAGAAATGAATTGATGATATACATTGGCCTTCCTACTCTTCCTTTGCAATCAGATTGCATTAATGAAAAAAATGAAATTATGAAAAATAATTTTACTGATTTTCTGTTCTTTATCTTTATCTTTAAAAAGAGGAATGTCTAACTGGGGGGAGTGGAAGCCTAATACAGTAGATAACATTTTGTGTATTGATTGGGAAATATGGTACCTTTTGTTCAACAAAGTGGTAACTTGCCAATGAGAAATTTGGAGATATTAATGTTACACAAATTAATAATAGAAATCCTCCTGATCCTCATCATATCATGAGGACATGACAGTGTGTCTTTTTGCAGTAATCAGTGTTGACTCAAAGTTCAAGGTTCTTTACTCTGCCATCTCCCTGCTGCCCCAGTTGCGTGTTTGAGTCATCTCCTTCAGTCTGGCAGCTAGTTGGACAAATAGTGCTAACTGGGGGATGAGTGGGATTGGACTGYTGGCCTCTCCTCCTCCTCCTGCCAGGTTTGGAGTGAGATCCACAGAAGCATAAGCCAGTTGGGGATTAGTTTGATTAGCACTGCTGAGGCAGACAGAGATTAGTTGAATGGATCTGTGAATTCTTTAGCTAAAACCTGTGTGGTGCATCCTCTCTGAGTCACTGTGGCAGCAAAGCTAAATGGAAAGCAACATAGGTATGTGGCCAGATCTGTAAAATAGCAATCACTCCTCAAATATGTATTGCCTAAGTTGATTKATGCTCCTTTTTATCATAGGAATATAATCCACCATCTAATTTTTGAATCAGCCAGTGCATATGAGATGTTTAAAAAGAAATATCTCTTCTTTCAGGCATATCTAATTAACTGTGTATGGAACTGCTATAAATACATCAGCAACAGAAATTTGCCAGAGATTGCTGTGTACCCTGCTTTTGAAGCTCCTCCACAGGTAAAACCTCTTTTATCTCAAACAGGAACCAGCATCGTTAATAYTGAAGTAGAAAATCACCACATCTGTGTATGTTTCCAAGCCTTGTCCAGCTTTCTAAAGAAAGACTGGAAAGATAAAAAGCATTAAAGCAACTAATTTTGTGGTGGATTATTTTTTAGTTAAATTCTGACAGTGTCTAAAAGGGGAGTTTTTAGAGAGAGTCTTCAAAGTTTTTCTTGTAGTAGAGGGAAACTTTGATTTCACCAGTCCAGACCTTTCTTGCTGCTTTGCAAAGTCAAGATGCAGTGGGGCGTGGACTGAATGACCCAGGGTTAAGCTCAGCAGAGCAGTAAACTGCTCCTGCACCTTCTTTCACTTCCTCATTTGCTTACTAGGAACAGAGGCAAGTTCTTAAAATAACTTTGCCTGCACTACAGAATTAAGTTGCTAATGGGCATGTATGCTTTTGGTTTTTTTTTTCTTCATTTTAAACCTTCTGCATTAATCACTTCAAAATGTCTTCTCTTTAGTATGTTCTGCCAACCTATGAAATGGCAGTGAAGATGCCTGAGAAGGAACCTCCACCTCCCTACATACCTGCCTGAAGCAATTTTTATGTTCATTAACATCTGTACCAGCTTCCTGGGGGGTTTTGTCTTTTAATCTTGCAAAACTGCTTAAGTAATAGAAATATTCAGGGCTTTAGGAGCAAACTGTTCTGTTTAAARTACGTTTGATATAAACTTACTAAGCAAAACACATCTGAGAGTGATTTTGTTTGCTTTAATTTTTGTTCTCCCTAATGCTCTTAAACATTTTATTGCCTTAGGGCCTTACACCTGCAAGAACTTATGCATGTGACTAACTTGTGGCTTTTAATAATACCAGTTGAGCCACTGTGATTGAAGTTAGCTGCAATTATAAGTGTCTGCAGGATTGTGCCCTTAATTTATATTAATTTTTTGTAAAGTAGTTCATAAAGACAATCTGATCGTGCAGCAAAATGACAGTTTGCCTTTATCCATTTTTTGGAAGGGGAAGGGTTTGAATGTGGTATATACATGACTTTTTTTACTTTGCACTTTTCTCATATGTTATCTTACCTTTTACTGTGGGTTTTTTTTTTGGTTATCCTATGTCTTGAAACATAGTATTTTTGAGGAACAAGTGAGAGTGGCACAGGAGTTCTATTACAATGAGCTGGGAATGCAAGAAAAAGAAATAGAAATGTGGAAGATGGTTGCATGCTTCTAATCTTCTATGTATTTTCTTCTTTGTGATAAATGATACTTAAATAAATCTTTTACAAAATGTTTACCAGTAGTGTTGGTTGATCTGTTTGGTGTTTTTTTTTTTTTTTTTTTTTTTTTTTTTTTTGTTGAAGTGCTTCACTGTCCTGCACATTGTCCAGTGTACTTAGTTACAGCTTTAGTCGTTGATCTGTTCTAAGTCCCTGTCTGGGTGGGGAACGTGGCTTCTCTCTAACACACAACCCTGTGTTGAAGCCTTTGCAGTTCATCTACTTGGTTGTTTTCCACTTGTCTGATTGGTACTTACACATGAGCTGGGAAAAGGGAATTGTGCTGGAGGCTTCAAGACCTTAGGGAAATCTAATGTCTGGTCAGCTCAGGCATTAAGAGGAGGACAGACACCCAGTAGGACTACCTTATTTGCATTGGAAAATGTCCAGAGTCATTGGAGATAACATCTCAGAAGATATGGCCTTTTCTAAAATCAACAAAAAAACCCCAAACAAAAAAAAAAATAAACTACAAACAATTTTCTACTCTTTTGTAGTAAGAGGTATAAGAAGGTAAAAGATAATTTAGTGATTTAGCAAGTCTGACGAAATAAAACAGCTTTCTTCTTTGGAAGAGAAAAGGTATCTGGTATTAAATTTTGGGAAAAAAAGGTTCAAAATGGTTAACAGCATATAGTTTGTGGGTTATTATATTTTCAGTATGTACCTCTATACACATTTAAAAACGCACGGTTAGGGCTGTGCTATCAGCAGTAGTTAATTCAGCTGCCACCTGCAAGAGCCCTTAGAACAGCAATGGGCTCAGATCTCTTGTGCCGCTGTTCTGACAGTGCCCTCCCTCCTTCCCAGTTACTCTGAGGGGCTGCCCCGGGCCCGGGTGTGCCCAGTGCTGGTGGCAGCTGCACTCTGTTTCCAGATTCTGAGGARTTGCATTGGATCTGGACTCCCAGAGAGACTCCAAACCCAGGGCATRTGTAGATGCTGGCACAGACTGCTTCAATGTAACTTCGGAGGGACGGAGAAGGCGGGAGGACCTGAAAGACCACCGTGGTTTCATGTGGTCAAAGAAACACAGCTGAAACAGTTGGACAGTTGGGTGCTGCTCAAAGATGGATTCCAGCACACAGTGCTCTGTCCCTCTGCACCAAGGGAGTGTGTGTGTGTCTGACCACGAGTGGGCAAAGAGCTCCTGCCAAGGGCTGGCTATTGAGCCTTTCCASGTGGGTGGCTGACCGTATGGGTGAGCAAGCACTGCCTGAAATTCGCCTGGAGTGTGTGCTTGTGCTCTTGCTCAAAAAGCTGCAGCCTCTTCTGGGAGAGAAAACCCATTACACTCTGCTGGAGCCCTGTCCTGTGGCATTCTCCTGCTTGAAGCGGGGTGGTCCCTCTTCCCTGCTGTCGTTTGCAGCCTTTGGGCATGCAGTGGTGGTCTCTTCTACTGTGCCTTTACCGTAGAACTTRCTGAAGTGAGTCAGTGCCTGCCTGATACTGTACAGCTGGTGGGTTGGTGGTTCCTCTTCTAAATCAGGGCTTCCTGTTTCCCTGATGGAGGTGATGGGAGAGGACGTCCTGCAGTAGAACACGACACGGATTTGGCAGAGGTGTTTTCTAAAGTCCCGCGCCGGAGATCAATCTGCCTTCGTGCCCTTAGCCGTGTTTTCCGTTAAAGCACACAGCAGCTCCCTGCAGGAGCTGGCAGTTCAGTGCCAGGAACCAGAGAAAATGCCCTTGGCCAGATTTGGCAACAGGGCAAGGCAGTTCCTTGTGCCTCGGTGATCACACTGGGAGCTTTTCCCCCCGTTCTTTTCGAATACTGTCAGGGAGACTGAAATGCAAAATTAACCTGAACTAAACACTTCTAATGAAGGAAGATCGGTGTCTCAGCTGCGCCCAGGTTTGAACGCTTCCCTGGTCCTGCTGCACGTTCCCAAGGAGGAGCTCGGATCCTCGCCCCTTCCCTCTCCCGCGGCTGAGCGCCCGTCGGGGCGGGGGGGCGAGGGCCAGCGGCCCGCCCTGGGGAGGAGGCGGCGGGGGCGGCCGGTGCCCCCTCGCTGTCCCGTCCCCCTTCCCCGTCTCGCAGCTTTAAAGGCAGCGAGCCGGGTGCGGGGCCGGG